AAAAAAAAAAAAAAAAAGAAGTTAAAAGTAAACCAGAACCTGAGGGATGACCACAACACAGAAGAGGCTATTAGCATATAAGCAGACCTGACAAGCAAGTTCACAGACTTATCCAATTGTCAGACCTCATAGGACAGATAAATAAAAATATCACAGAGGAAAAAGTCAAAAGAAACAAAGTGACCACTGGGCCCACAGTCCAAGGGTCACCCTCACTCTACCTGCAGAGTTGGCAGGCAGGGGCTCAGGGAGAGGCCGCCATCCTGAAGGGCAAGGTGGCTATAGCAATTCCTGAAGCCCTCAATTCAAGACAGGCACTCCTTGCCCTGGCCCTAGGCCTTCCAGGACCCTATGATAGCTGTCATCAGAATTTGCAGAGAAAAGTATAAGTGAAAGGACATTCATCTCAGCATGGTCTTGCAAGAAAAAACTAGAAATGACTTTACCCCTGGGCTGGGGACTGGCTGTGAGGTGCCCAATCACGGGTTATACAGGGACTGAGTTTTGTTCTACAGCAATGCTGGGAACCCACAGATCAGCACCTGGTTTCCTCTTTACGGCTCCCGTACTATTTCTCTGCGGTGGGTACCTATGACTTTTGTAATTAGCAAACACATTTGAGGTACCATCCTATAGATGAAGGGGACAGTACAATCAACCAGAGGCCCCGCGCCCTTTCCAGGGGCTAACAGGTCAGGAGAGCTGAGCCCACCATGGGACAGGATACCTGGGGCCCCTGCAGGCTGGGTATAGGGACAGCCCAGCTACATGGAAGTGGAGCAAGCCTACTACAGAGAATGGCCCTACTGCTTAGGTGGGCTTGGGACAGGAAAGAAAGGACAGACCCTTTTACATACTGGGCAGTGTGAGCTGGACACAGAGAGGACAGGCGAGTGTGGTACTAGGCGTGTCTAAGTATGTCCTGGCACAGCTGTGCAGGATGACTTGGGGACAGTGTGGGAAGAGGCAGAGGACAGGTGCTCTGACATGTGTGGCCAGAGTGTTTCCCCCCAGGGTGGAGGGTCCAGTTTGGGAGAGACCCAGGAAGGTGAGCTAGGGCACAAGTCTTCCTGGGACGGGGAAGGCTGGAGGCATGTGTGTGGTGTGCACCAGTGCCAGTGTGTGTGTATGGTATATGTCACTTACTTGGGGAGGCGTATCACTGTGTGGTACATGTCAAAGTGTGAAGTATCAGTGTGGACATCATCGTGTGGCACTCCCACACTAGTGCACACTGTCCAGGCTGGTCTCAAGAGGGTAGGCGTGCATGCCACGGAGTGGAGCAGCCAGGGAGTGGAGCAATCAGGGAGCAAGTGCTGCAAGCCTCAGAGGACAGCCCAAACTTTGAGGGAGCAGCAGGAGTAGGCAGGACCCCCACAGGTGCCAGGAGAGCCAGGAGGCGGACTGTCATCTTAGTCCATCCAGGGGGATGCCACAGGTGCTAGCCAGCCAGGGCACAAGCACGGGACAGGGACTGCTGTGGCAGAAGCACACACCTCCCCCAGGCCTGCCCGCTGAACCTTTTGGAACTCACGTGGCAATGGGCACAAGGAACTGGTAGAAGCCACGGAAGAGCACGAAGGCCCCATAGCAGGGCCAGATGCTGACCACATTGTACAGCAGGAAGATGAGGCCGGCCTGAGCCGCGGTGACACAGGCAATGACCAGCTTGGACCACAGCGCCCAGCGGATCTTTACGAAGCCAGCAGCGAAAGATGTCATGGCACCTGGGGAGGCAAAGGCGTCACAGCCATCCTGGTGGGCAGCAGACTAGGGGGAGGTAGGGGGCAGTAGGGGGTGGTAGGAGGCCAGTGGGCTGGGGAGGGGCCCGGCGGTCGCACCCAGCAGCGTGGAGGCAGCATCGGCGGCACCGTTGTAGACCTGAGCACTGTCGGTGGTGGGGCACAGGGTGTTCCACAGGATGTGCACATAGTAGACAACCAGGTAGTAGCCGGCTGAGTTGAGGACCCACCAGAGTGACCAGAGGCGCAGCTGTGGCAGCCGCAGGCTGGCCCCCAGCTCATGCAGCATGCGCACCAGGATGCAGTCCCTGCAAGCGGCCAGCAGCTTCCCGCGCGGGGCGGGGCCGGGCCGCACAGGCTGTAGCTCTGAGGGCACAGCCCCACGCAGGGGAGTGCTGCTGCGGTTGAAGAAGAGGCTCCGCTTGGGGCGCTTGAGGAAGGAGGCGAGCAGCAGGCTGAAGATGAGGAAGGCCAACGAGATGTAGTTGAGGGTCCTGAAGGAGACCCTGCCCGTGGAGACCAGCAGCTGGCCCAGCACTGAGCTGGTGAAGACGCCCAGCAGCACGGCAGCGCGTGAGTAGCCAGCCATGCGCTGGTAGCGCGCAGGGTGCACGAGAGAGAAGATGTAGGAGGAGTAGGCGACCCGTGCGGCCATGGTGACGCTGTAGAAGAACTCCATGAGCTGCATGTGCTGCACAGAGCCACCGAACAGCAGCAGCAGCCACACGGACGTGTAGCTGAGACCCTGCAGCAGCAGCACTGGCTTGTAGCGCAGGTAGTCGGTCAGCAGGAAGATGGGCACCAGCACCAGCATGTACGAGTAGGACAGCACCGGTGTGATCTCGTTGGTGACCTGTGGGCCAGCGGGCACTACCTCAGCTGGACGCAGCCTGTGCCTGCCCCACCCTCGCAGCATCAACCCTCCCCAGGGACCCCGCCCACACGGCATCAACTGCCCACTCACTGGTCATCAGTTCAAGATTGTCCTGGAGAGCCTGGGAAACCCTGGAGGCCAGCCCTCAGAAATGACCATGACTAAACACATTAGATGGTGTTCCTCCAGGCTTATTAACTTTTTTTTTTTTTTTGCAGTTTTTGGCCAGAGCTAGGTTTGAACCCACCACCTCTGGCATATGGGGCCGGTGCCCTAATCCTTTGAGCCACAGACACCACCCAGACTTATTTACTTTTAACAGAATAACAATGTGGTTGGATTTTATCTTAAATCTAACATGGAAAACAGCAGTAAATGACACACACCAGCCACTTCAGTCCTCACAGGATAGAGATCAGAATGAAAGGACTGTGATGAGTTCACAAGACACCAAGGAAGGGGGCACTGGGGAAAGAGGGTTAGGAGCAGAGGGGGAAGAGAGCAGTGTGGGGAAGGACCTGGAGCCCCCCACCCCCACTCATCCCAGAGCAGGGCTTCCAGGCCAGCCTCCAGCCCAAGGACAGCCCAGGCCCCAAGGCCACAGCCTCTACATACTTTCACCTTTCCATTGAAGCATGAAATGGGCACGGGCTGGAGACAGTATCCCCTGCAGGCAGCCCCAGGTTCAGAAACAGCACCCAGTACCACAATGGCTGGGCAGGGCACACAGGTGTTCTGGACAGGGGCTGCCTAGGGTTCCACTGGGCACGTTCCATGGGAGGGGCCCCACCTGCATCAGACCCAGGTGCCCAGAGCTGTCCTGTGCTCAGAGCCTCCCTACATGTGTTTTCAACAGATGGCCTGACCAAGGGCCGATGTCAGCACCAGTGGAGCCCCCAGGGCTTGCTGGGCTCTTGGAGGCTGAAGCCTCCCTCAGCTACCACCTGACTCAGGACATAACCTCAACTCAGGCCTGACCACCAGCCACCCCAGGGCTGGTCCCAGCACTACCCCAAGTGACCATGGCCCCCAGAGCCCAGCAGGCACCACTGCTGGCCACACTTCAGAGATGAAAAACTGAGAACCCAGGACTGAGCCCTGGTCACAGTATATTGGGGCCCCACGCAGGACCTCCCTCAGCCCTCGTGTCTACAGTGCCTGAGATGTGCAGCCTAATGTGGCCAGGGCCTGGCTACCAGCCATCATGGTCAGCTGGTGAACAGGATCCCAGAGTTGGGCTCGTGGCTCAGGGGACCAGCATGTTGAAAAGCCTCCTCCGCGCACAAGGCTGAGCACAAGCCATGTCTATAATCCCAGCCCTCATGTAGGCCAAGGCAGGTGAACCACTGAGCTCAGGAGTTTGAGAACAGTCTCTACTAAAATAGAAAAATTAGCCAGGCATGGTGGCAGAAGCAGGAGGATCACCTGAATCCAGGAGTTTGAGGTTGGTGTGAGCTAGGCTGAGGCCACAGTACTCTAGCCTGGGCAACAGAGTGAGACCCTGCCTCAAAAATTTAAAAAAAAAAAAAGAAAAAGCAGGCCTCTAAGGGCTTGGCTACCCCGTGTGGGAGAACCAGGTGAGCTGCTGGCAATGCTTTTGAGCCTGCAGCCTCAGAGAAGCTAGGACCACCGAAGAGGCTCTATGGGCCCAGCCACACCAAGCACAGGTCCCCCTCCAGACACTCCTAGAGCAGCTGAGACTTCCATGCTGGGTCATGGAGCCTGGGAGCTCAGCTACAGGTGTCTACACATGTGTTCACCGTAAAATCCTGGAACATCAAACAGGCTAAGCCTGACCACATGCTTAGTCAGGAGGCTTCCCGGTCAGAGCCAGCCCAGGGACACCACTGGGACAATCAGGGCCACAGACCTTGATGATTTAGGAAGCAGCAGCTCAGAAGCATAAGCCCTCCCAGGACCCAGAGTCCACACCACCCTGGAGACAGGAACTGCTGTTGGGCAGTACACCAGACCCCACAGCCAGAGTCAAAGTGGGAAGGGCCAAGCAGGGGGCTCTCTGTAGAGCCCAGTCCCCAGGCCCTCAGGAACCCCCCTCACATGAATTCACAGACTCTACTGTGTACTCCTCAGAGCAGAAGCTAGGGCTACAGGCAGGGTCTCTCATGGGCACCCTCAGATCTCACTCCAGCTCTGGGTGCAGAGCTCTCCAGGAACAGACCAGGCAGGCAGGGGTGTAGGAGCCATGGACATACTGGGGCACCCTCCCCAACAGCTTGCTCCAATTTCCTCAGACTTGGAAGGAAAAGGCTCTGCCCAGGGTTAGGACTTGTGTCCCACTTGGAAGGCCACTGGAGGAGGCACCCACCCAGGTGCCAGTAGGCAGTGACATCTGTGAGGAGGCCACAGCTCTGACACAAGGACAGGGGCCTCCTGCCTGAGCCCAGCTTCTGTGCAGGGAGCTTCTCTACAGGGAGGAGAGGCAGGCAAGACCCCAGGGTGGGTAGGACATGCAACGGGACATGGGGCTAGGAGCAGGGACGGAAAGTAGCAGGAAGTTACTGCCCAACAAGGCTGACCGATCTTCACCAGAGGCACAGGCCAAAGGTCAGGAAGGACTAAAGTACCAGTGTACTGGCCAGGCTCTCAGGGAGTGGGTAGGGGCTGTGCCTGCTACCACACAGCAGGTTTTAAAGGGTCTCAGGCCTGAATAAGCTGAGCAAACCGCGGCCCCTCCTAAGAACACGTCCATCAACTCTGGCTTCTCAGTGAAGGCTCACACCATATATAAACCACGAAGACTAACTTGGCCAAATTCAAAATGACCCCAGGAAAACACTGCAGGATGCTGAACACACAGCCAACCCAATCCCAGAGATGCCAGGAGTCTAGCCAGGCAGCAAAGGCCGCCACGCAGAAGGACACTCGCCTGCTGCAGTACAAACAAAGGGACACCGCTCCTCACAGCTGCCAGACAGTAGCCACTGAGCACATGCACAAACCAGCTGTAGGGCCTCTGGTGAACAGTGTAGGGGAAACAGGAAATCACCCCAGGAGGTGAGCTGGAAATACCAGCCCCACCAGCCTTCACGGCCACCACAGCCTAAGGACACTGGCAGGTTCCTGCACAGAAGCATTCCCTGCAGGGGGTGACATGCTCAGTGAGCCCCCAGATAGACACCTTGTGGTCCAACCCCACAGGTGCAACTTGCAAAAGATGTGTTTACGAATCCAGCTATGTGAACTTTCTAAGCATGAGCCCAGCAGGGACAGGGGCTGCCTAGGCTGGTAGCCAGTCCTCTCCTAGAGCCAGAGGGCTAAGGCCAGGGCCCAGCCATGTTGCTGCCGGCAGAGACACCTGCATTCCTCATCCCTTTGATGACATTCAAGGCCTGGGGAATGGCTTAATTTCTAGAATCTACTTTTCAATCAGTAAATATGCAACATGAGAGGGTAGCAGAAGGGACTTAGAACATTTTTGCTATACTTTCTTATTTTCTTATGTTAATGGAAGCTTCACACCTGCTTGTTCTAGAAATAACCTTGAGGATGGCTGGTGGCCCTCTCTGAGGAAGAGAAGAGTCTCAGCAGAAGACTGACTAGTAGGGGCAGAAGACACTGCCGTGAGGGGGCACACAGATAACTCTGCTGACTCTAGCCCCAGCCCCACCATCAACAGGTGGCAACCCTGGCCTCCCTGGAAAATGACCCTGCTCTGGGGGTCAGTGCTGGCTATGGGATCTGATGCAACCAGCCACACACAAGCAGGTCTCTGCAGACATTTCCCTGCTTCCGAGAATGCCCTCATGCACACAGCAACTTCACGTTCTAGGGTCTACAAGGAGTAGAGGTCAAACTCCCAGCGAGGGGCAGGTCGACCCACCTAGGAGGGGCAGGTGCAGAGGCCCAGGACAAGCTCATAGGCAGCCAGCACTGGGGTCCTCAGGATGGGTGGGCTGGACTGGGTGGGGTGGATGGGGGAACCGAATGTGCCCTTTACCGCAAACGCCTTCCACGTCCCTCTAGCTGATGCCTGGTGTACAAGCCCAAGAAGAAAACTACTCTGGGGCAGCGCCTGTGGCTCAGTGAGTAGGGCGCCGGCCCTATATACCAAGAGTGGCAGGTTCAAACCCAGTCCCAGCCAAACTGCAACAAAAAAATAGCCAGGTGTCGTGGCAGGCGCCTGTGGTCCCAGCTACTCAGGAAGCTAAAGCAAGAAAATTGCCTAAGCCCAAGAGCTGGAGGTTGCTGTGAGCTATGACACCACAGCACTCTACCGAGGGCAACAAAGTGAGACTATGTCTCAAAAAAAGAAAAAGAAAACTACTCTGGACACAGCCTGCCACTGCTTCTTTTCTCTGTGTGGCCTTAGGGAACCACAACTGGGCATAACTTATTAAAGGTTTCAATGAGACCCTTTGTCCCACAGTAATCTCTTCATGCAGGCAGCTGCCAAATCCCTGCTGGAGGCAGGTGCCAGCGGCTTTCTCCCCAGGAGGGCAGAAAAGCCCAGGTGGGCAGGCAGGGGCAGGCACCATGGGGGTAGCACAGCTCCACTGCAGTCTGCCCTCAGAGACCCCTGGGGTCCCAGCCAGCTCTCTCCGGGACCACTGTGACCTCACCCAGCCACTTACTGACACATCAAACATGACGAAGAGCCCCTGCCCCATGGTTCAGCTTCCCTGCCCACTGACAGCAGCAGCCCCCACTCTCCGATGCCCACTTGCCTGCTCCTGTGTGAAGTTCTTGTCCCTCAGCAGGTAGGGTGTGATGAAGCTCTCCCCGGGCCGCATCTGCGCCATGAAGCCATAGAAGCACAGGTAGAACACCAGGCACCGCCATGGCTGGGGCTCACAGTCCAGCTTAGGCTCTGTGGGCACCTGCTTCTCTCCCTCAGGGCTGGAAGGCATCATGCTGCCCCGGCCCATTTGAGACACTAGAGGGAATGAAGGTGATGCTCCACCTAGAAGGAAGACTCAAGCGTCAGGACAGCTCAGCAAAGAGCCTGTGGCCACCTCCCTCTAAAAAGGAGCTCAGCCAAAAGGGCTCCTCCTCATTGTTCAGTGAGCGCTGGCAGGGCACAGACCCTAGACCCCATCCTCAACCTGACCTCCAAACTGAGGGTTGCCTGGAGCCACCTGGACCAGGCTTTCACCACCTCTAGGGGTCTCCAAGGCTGACAGAAGCCACATGGGGCTATTTAAGTGTTCATTAAAGCCAAATTAATTACCTAATTAATTAATTAACAAAATTTGAAATTCAGGGCTTGGGGGCACACCAGATTCACCTCATCGCACAGAAGCATGAGCTACGTCTGTGGGGCTGGACACAGTCCTCTCCGCACAGCCCTGTGCGGCCCACATTGTACTGCTTCTCTGTGGCACTGCGGTGGCCTAGGAGGGCACAGGCAGGAACAGGTCTTTCTGGGAGGTCAGGCACACACTTGGCCACACCCTGGGGCCAGCAACCAGCGACAGGTGGCTGGACATAAGCTACCAGTCAGAGACCCACTGGGGAGTGAGGTCCCATGAGACTCTGGTATCCAGTCCTGCACAGAAGCAGGAGACTCAGCTCCCTGCCGTGCAGGGGAAGCCCACCGTGGGGATTAGGGGCTGAGGGCAGCTGGGAAGAGAAACAACCGAGAAGATGATGACCCAGACTTTGAGCCTAGGGTCCTGGAGTCCCCAGGAGCAAGTTCCCCTAAAGAGAAACAGCAGCGGTGGAAGCAGTGAGGCAGATGTGACACATTCCTGACAGAGCACCTCAGATAACAGGCCTGCCTTCAGGAGGCATCATGAGCCAGACCTCGGGGTGACCAGCCGGTGTCCCTGAGGCTGACCCCACCCCACCCAGGCCAGGGCACGTTGCATGACACAGCAGCAGCCTGGGTGTGGAGAACCTCTTCTGCAGCCCCTTCCACCATCCTGATTCTGCCAGGGAGAAAGCCTCTGTTGCCCCCAAGAGCACAGCCAGGACCACTAATGGCCCTTCCCAGCAAAGGAGCAGCAGTGGGGCAGAAGCCCGCATCCACACCGAGGTCACCTGCAGCTTGCTGTACACACACGTCTGTCTCCACAGGCCAGTGACGCTGCTGGTCCACTTGAGGTGTTCCAGGCAATCAGAAAGCAAGCGGCCACCAAGGAGGTCAGGTGCACGAGGCACCACGCCAAGCTGACCTGCCCCACTGGCCTTTGTCACGCTGACCATCACTCCCAGGCCAGGCCTGACAGGGTCCATGTGGAAGGGCATGTGAGGTACAGAGGGCAGCCTGAATAGCTAGTGGAGGCGGGTGGGGCTGGCTAAGCTGTGATCATCATTCCCTCTGCCCTGGACTGATACGTGGCCAGGTGTCTGTATAGGGAGAATCCCCTCCTACCCTCAAGCAGGGGGCACAGAGAGCTCCCTAAACGTGGGACCAGCATGGGGATCCAGGAGTCCCCAGGGACAGTCACCCCAAATTCCAGCACTAAGCCCTGTGGGCTTGAACTCCACACAGGCTGAAAGTGCTCCTGAAACCCACCACTGACACAGTCTTACAAGCAAGGTGGCCAGCAGGGATCCACATGGGGTGCAGAGAGCCTCTTCCCAGCTACACAGGCAGACCCCTGGGCACAGGCAGTAGTCACGGGATCCGGCTTCCAAATCCCTCCGCACTCACTTCTGTGACAAGGGGCAGTGGGCAGGGTACAAACAGTGACACCCAAAAGAAGCAGGGTCCCATGGGCTTGTGGGGCTACAGGAAAGGGAGGATGGTCTCTCCCCCTATATAGAGCTGGCCTCTGGGATCCCAGCCATAAGAATTCCAGAGAGTTCCAAGGGTAGATGATGGGACTGTGCCCAGCACAAAGGGCAGCAGTGACTCTGAAGTCTTCATAAGGCCAAGAGGAAAACAGCTACAGGCAGGGGCTCCTGCCTCAGCCAGGATAGACCCCCAGGGCTCTGGACCCCCTCTCCCCAGGAGCTGGGGCAGCAGGGAGGAGCTTAGAGCCAGGAGGGCTCAGCCTCTTCAACAGTCACCTTGACACCCAGAGGGCCACATGCAGAGCTGAACTACACCTCACACACACCCCCAGGAGACCCATCTCAGGTCCACTCTCCCAGTCCTGGATACCCAGAACAGCTGTTCCTCACCCCAACTAAATCACTGTGGCCACGGCTGTACAGGTGCACAAGGCGCCACCCCCAGAGGCAGCAGGAATGCCCTTTACTTGTCACTGGCAGTTCTCAGCCCCAGCACGTAGCACTCATTTCTACATCCTCACTCACTCCCAAAGCTGCCAAAACCCCAGAGTGGAGTCTCTCAAACATCAAGGAGAGCTCCTTAGGAACCTGCCCTGTGTCTGCAGGCATGGGGCAGACCCACCAGGACTCTGCCCTTTAATTTGTCCACCAGATAAGCCAGAGCAGGTGACCCACCACACATGGAAAAGCACTCTCAGGATCCAGTGCTGAGCTCCACAAGAACAGCCAGTCTGACCAGAGCCAGCACAGCAGCCCACCTTTGCCCATACTCAGATGGGCCCCAGCACTCCCCGGCAACTCCCACAGGCCAAGTGCTAAAGGGCCCAGGGAGTGAACAGCCCAGCTTGTTCTCCAGGGTTATGACACAAAGGAGGAGCCTCGCTCCCCAGATGTTGGTCAGGGAGCCCCCAAAACACTGCAGTCAGCCTGGACAGCAGAGGGGCCAGGCCAACCAGGTCAGGCCTGTTTGATAGGGTCCCTAGACCTACCGCCAGAGAAAGCCTCCTTCCCCCACCCGGCCAGCCCGGGGCCCCCCACCAAGCTTCCAACCTCACAGCCATCCCACCACCGCCACCACTTGGGGAAGCTGAGCAGCAACTGACCAGGTGGAGGCTCAGGAAGCCAGCAGTGCCCTAGGTTCCCTTTGTTCTTGGATCATGCAGTCGCTAAGTAGCTGAGTAACCAGGCTTATCTCCAGAAAGCAGACACTGAACCCATGGGGCATCCTCCCCCCTCTGGGACCCTGCTGGGCAGTGCCCTCCACCCTCCACTCTATACCACACACACTTGCTCAGCAAAGACACCCAGGGTCCCTACAGGAATGTTTAGCAGTCACAGGCCCAGGGGACCACCGGGTCCATGTGAAGAGAACTTGAGCTCCTTCCCTGCTCAGTGAAGGAGATGAGGGACATGCTTTCCTAGGACATAAGCCAAGAGACACTCACTCAAGACAAAGGCAGCCTTCCTGTCCCAAGAGGCCCTTTATTCTCATGTCCCAGTGCGGGGGGAGGCAGATATAGCAACCATGGGAGAAGCAAAGATGGTGCCAGAAGCTCTGCTATCCATATTCCTCCAGAGTGTTACTCTAAAAACTTGTCCTCTCATCTGTACAAGGCCCTGCCCCCCCCCCAGGTGGGGACACAGTCCTACAGTCCTTCCTGATAACAGTCACACCTGCAGGGTACCAGGGCCACATAGGGGCAAGAAGCTTGGGAGGGGCTCACTTTCAGTGCTATCCTGTGGAGTCTGGATCTGAACTAAGCAGACCGCCTGGGGACAGGAGGCCTGTCTCCACTCTGGAATGTGCTGTACTCTGTGTGTGCCCACACTCTCACAGCACAATGGGATACACACTGGTAATACCTCAAAGAGATCTGGGGCTGCCAATTCAGAGCCTACAGGGCCAGACAATAGCAGGTGAGCAGGGGAGGCGAGATAAGAACTCACCGTCCCAGGAACAATGGCCCTCAGCAGGAATAGGGGACAAAATTCCAGGGTCTTATGGGAAAAGCCAGTTTAATGTTGGCCACTAATGGAAAAAATGTTGACTAGCACAGCAGTCTGCAATCCCTATGCAGAGCAGGGGGCCTCCAACCCTGTGTACTCTGTATTCTGCAGGAGGAAAAGCAAGCAGGCCTGCCTGGCCACCACCTGTGAGGAGGCTGAAGATCAAAGATAGCCATGACCTCAGCCAGTCAAGGGGTCCCGTCTGAAGTCTGTCTGCTCTGCTGATTTGATGTAAACCATCAGTGAATATGGTCACATGACGACTGGTCAGTACAGCTGAGACTCAAAGTCCTCTGGTTGCCACTAGACTTACAGAGGAAAAGATGGGGAACAACGTCACATGTGCACAGGAAACGGAGCCTGGAAACTCAGGGGAAGCCCACCCCAAGTGTGCTGACTCCAGCCCAGCCCTGTACAACTTCAGGCCTCTTCCAGGCAGCTGAAGAACAGCCCTGGCCAGCCAGAAGGATCAAAGGTGGAGGACTGAGGACCCAGCTGCCTTCAGGAGAAGGTCCTAGCACAAACACCCCCCAGTCCTGGTCCCCCCTCCTTTGCCTCTGACCAGCCTCTAGCACCTGCCCTGGGAGATGTGGAGTCCCAGTCCTATACCCCCAGCATCCAGGAAGGCTGGCGCTTGTAAGATCAAAACAAAATCAAGCACCACATATCACTTTGTGTTTTAAACCAGCTACTTGAAGGCTAACCAGGAAAGTTCATTATATTTTCAGAACAGCTGCTAGTAAACAAAGAAAAAAATTGTTGCATTTCCCCCAGGTCGGATGACTAGGTCCAGTGTTCTGGGACTACAAGTCCTCCGGCTACCACTGCTGCAGGCCCAAACCACAGGCTTAAAACACCTCAAGAAATACTGTTTCTTACCTTGTCCAGCACAGAAAACTGTAATATCGGGAATTATAAAAATCCACCAAAGTCCCCTCTGAAAGAAAAGAATTAGCGATTGCAATTAGCAGGGCACATTCATCGCTACCAGGCCTGGGAAGGGTAGGCAGTCCCACCAGGCCAGAGGGTCCTCAGTCCTGCTGATTCCACCTAAGCTGTTGGAATCCTCAAGTCTCCTTGAGGGGAGATCACCCCTTTAGAGGGCCGCCCAGCAGGCAGTTCCAAAGACTTTACTCCACCTTCGCTTTGGGAGCATACTGTATTTAAGGCTGACTTAGACTTCAACCTCTGTCCTGAGATCTCCAAGCAAGCTTTCAGATAGGCGATGGGAACTGGCCCCACAGAGGTGTATTTCTCCCTGGAGGAACACACGCAGGATTAAGTCTCCCAGGCCCACTGTCCAGGCGTTGAGAAGACGCCCGTCCTTTTTTTGGGATGGTGCCGAGAGCTGCTCCAAAGGGAAGTTACACCTGCATCTGCATCTATACAGGCCCGCCGGGCCTGCCCAACGCGTGGGTTGCCCGGGCTCTCCTGCACGTGCTTAATAACGGTGGCTCCACCTGAGCAGCATGTCTGAGCTGGAACGCCCTGGGGGAGGAACTCGGCAAACCGGCCGATGGGGAGTGAGGGGGTAGGTGCGGCTCACAGCCCCCACTTAGCCGCCTAGGGCGAGAAGTAAGCGGAAGGAAGCCTGTGGCACAACAGCGGTTCTGGCACGGTGCGCCCACGGTGCCCCGCCTGCGTGCATCGCATCCAGCCGGTAAGACCCCGGCCGCGTCCCCAGCACTCATCCCAGGGCCCCGCAGACCCCGGCCTGCGTACCCCACACTCACCCCAGGGTCTCCGATACACTCCTTAAGACCTCAGCCCGCGTCCGCGGCGCCTATCTCAGGGCCCTGCAGACCCCGCTGGGTCCCCGCACCCACCCCATAGTCCCCCAGGCACACAGCAGACTGTCCTGCGTCCCCCACACTCACCTCCGCTGGCTCCCTGTATTCAACTCGGAAACTCCCAGCCACTCCGCACACCCCCGCCCGCCCGCGACCCCCGCACTCTTCTCAGAGACCGCAGGCACCCCGGAGCCCGCTACAGGCTCCCTCACCAGCCCGCGCGGCTCGGGATCCCGCCGGTACTTGGAGATCTAGAGGAAGCCGCGCTCGGTTCCAGGGACGCGGTCCCGCGCACGCGGACGCTCGGACTACAGCATCCACAATGCGGCGCGGCCGGTGCAGCGGGCGCGGGGGCTGCCGGAAGGGGCAGGGCCTCCCCAGACGGCCACGCTCCCAGGAGAGACGGGACCCGGCGCACAGCCTGGAGAGCGCCGATGCAGGATGCTGACCAAGCCGCGCGCTCTGAACCTCTCCCCGGCCCCGGTCATCGCCTGGTGTCTTGACCTGGACCCGCTAGGCCCTTCCCTCCCGCCACTCGGCCTCACCCTCCATGGCCCCGCCCCCTCCTTGGTCTCTCCCCCAATCCCATTGCCCCCACCTCTTTCCCAGTCCCACTACCCCCACCTCTTTCCCACTCCCACCTCACCCCCAGCCATCCCGATTCCCTAACTTTCCCCCCACCCCCGCCCGCCAAGCCACTCTGAACACATATACACCGCCCTGGGGACACAGAGCCCCTTTTTTACCTCTTTATGCGGTCTACTGGAGGCCCCTGGGTGTGGGCTCCAACGAGAGCAGGGCGCTATCGGCTGAGGGATGTAGAGACAGCAGATGTTCCAGGTGCCCGCCTCCCTGAGAGCGAGTTTGCTTTTCTACACATGGTGTCCACCTGTGTTCCTGACCCCCTGACCCAGTCACTGCACGGCCGGGTATGAGGACTCCAGCGGCATCCCCAGAAAATGTCCGGGAGGGCTGGGATGAGAAGTCTGGGCTGCTGTTGTCTGCTTGGGTAAGCTGCCTCCTGATCCCTGGTTAAGAACCAGCATGACCTCCCAGCCTGTGCCCAACAGTGAGGCCAACCCAGCTCTCAAGAGTGTCCAGAGGTGGCGCCTGTGGCTCAAAGGAGTAGAGCGCTAGCCCCATATGCTGGAGGTAGTGGGTTCAAAAACAGCCCCGGCCAAAAAACTGAAAAGAAAAAAAAGTGTCCAGAGGATGAACAAGCCCAGTGTGGGGGAAGGGTCATCCCCTGGCCCTGAGTGTCCTCTGTGCCATCCCTGCTACTTGCCATCCCAGGGTGGGGGTCAGGCTGGTAGTCCCACAGACGCTGGGAAGGCTGCCCATGTTCACACAGGGCATCTAGGGGTCGTTTCCCTTTAACAGGGCTTTTTTTTTTTTTTTTTTCCAGTGTAAAAGGCTGGTAATGTCCTTCCGCACCGTCACTGTGTGACCTGGCAAAACATTTCCATAAGGCGACTGGGGCAAGGGCACCCTGCCTCTCTGTGTTATCTGACAATTGCATGTGAACTTGTAACTATCTAAAAATTAAACAGTTAAATGTATTATAAACCTGAATGTTATACAATTAACAAAATAGCTACCCAGAAGTAAAAAGTGAGAAGAGCAGTGCAGAGCGTCCTACTACACATGTTGCCTCATCCATTGTTTCAGTCCCCAAACCTTTTGGTGACCACATGGTCCCCAAGCAAGGCCCAGGCTCCTTAACCTACTTCACAGCAGCCACGATCAGTGCAGGGCTGCCTAACAGGTATCCCCATGCCTCCCTGGCTGGCCTGGGTGGGAGATCCAGACAGCTTGGGGGCAGGTCCTGCCACCCTTGCCTCACCCACCTGCGCCTGCCCTTCCCCTCTTATCCCCTTACCCTACCCCTCCCCTCCTGCTCCCAGGGTCTACTCTGGTACTCAGCTGACCATCTGAGTGAAACCTGTCAGCTCCTCGCACAGTCCCAGGACAGCAGGGACTGCCCCCTCACTAGGTCCCAGGGCCCAGGGCCAGGAGAGGGATGTGTAGGAGGGAACAGCTGAGCAGGTGTTGGTCCCACGGATGTGCCATAATGGCCAGGTGGGTTGTGGGTCACTCAGGCTGTGCTGTTTTTTCAGTAGACAAGGAGCCATGACAAACACAAACCCTTGTGAGAAACGGGGCTTTAGGTGTGGGGAGCAGCGGGACTGTGCCCAGTGGGGAGCAGCAGGACTGTGCCATTAGCTACAGGGCACAGCTAGCGACAAGGCTGCATGTCCTGTTGGGGAGGACAGCACCTACCTGGAGGTTCAGCCCAAGCGATGTTGGCAGCCACACCCTGAGGATCCTACAAGGAAGGACAAATGAGTTACTGTAATGGGCAGTCACTGGAAGGCAGCCCTCACCTCAGCTGGGCAGTCCCAGCTGTGCTCTCTGTAGTTCCTAACTCCAAACACCCCAGTCACGCACAGGGTCATGTGGTCCTGGCTCAGGGTGTCTATGGTACTACCCAGCTGTCCAGCCTGCTCCTGCACTCCTACCCAGAGGGGGACACACTACAAAACACACACCTGGTATCTGGTGACTACACATGAGACCTCAAACACTAAATCCGAGAGGACAAATGCTGATGGGCCCAGTGAGAAGCAGCCCTACATGGCCAGACAGCATCATGGGGCCTATGGGGCTTGGTGGTAGGAGGGCAGTGGGGCCTCCCCTGAAATGGTTAGGTGGCCCCCACACCACTCACTGTCCCGATGGTCCTTTCATGTTATGGCTACCACAGTTTATCCCTCCAGTCTAAGGGGACAAGAGGGTCACTGTGCTCTCCCAAGGATGTGATGGACACATCTGATGCTGAGTCATCCCACCAACCTGCAAGGGGCTCCCAGGTAAAGCCAGGAGCAGTCAGGGCAGATGGTTGCTCACCAGGCCCTTACATGGTATCAGATGACTGTTCAGAAACACAGTCTCCCAACAGCAGGCCTGGATCTTTACCAGGTTGCCAGCGCCAAGCCTCGCTGCTATTGTGATCTTATATTTTTTGTTGGAAAACACACACCATGAAACTGATCATTGTAACCATTTTCAAGTGTGCAGTTCAGCAGCATTAAGCACAGTCACGTTATCGCACAGCTATCATCACCATCCGTCCCCAGAACTTTCATCTTCACACTGGAAATCTGTCCTCAGGACACATGCTGTCCCCTAGCACTGGCAGCCACCGCCCCACTCTCTGCTTCTACAAGTCTGACTAGTCCAGGGCCCTGGTGTACATTGAGTCACGTGGGGTTTGTCCCTGTGAGACTGGTTCCACTCAATGTCCTCGAGGTCCACCGTGCAGCAACCTGTGTCAGGAGCTCACTTTCCTGACTGGATAATATCTCATGTGTGGATGCTCCTCTTAACCAGCCACTAAAGTATATGGCCCTGCGATTATTTTCACTACTGTCATTGCTGACAAACTGGTAGGTGAAATTTTTTCTTAGTGTTGGCTTCTTCCTATTTTACTTTACATTTAACCAGTAGTCCCAGCAGTTTGCCATGTTTCCACTCTTGGAGCCAGCCTGGCCTAACCTTGCACCTCACCTCCCCCCAGGAAGCCCCATATGGCCTTGGCCTTGTGCCACACCCTAGCCTTGCATCCCTCCAAACACTGTGATCAGGTGTAAGTGTGTAAGTGGCATCACCTTATCCTGTGGCTCTGGAATTGGCTACCCTGCTATTTTTTCTGAGCGTGACATTGAGATGGACCCATGGTGGTGGGGATGTGGCCACCAGGGGGCAGGCAGTTCCTGGCATTGCGTCCCTGGCTCAGCTGCTTGCCTAGGACCCAGGAGCCGTGGACGCTCACCAGCTGCAGGCAGACAGGCCCACCCACCCCAGGCAGGGGAAGGAGCTCTGTGGCCCTCCCCAGGTTGCTGGTCATGGGTAGAAGCCATAACCAAAGCTGGGAGTTGGATGCACAGAGTAGGAAAGAGGGGCAATGGATCTGAGTGGCCACCAGCAGTGTCCCCTTCAGGTCCAGCAATACCTGTCTCCCCAAGGTATTCTGGCCCTTGAGTGACCACCTCAGAAGGAAGAGCGGAAGCCCTCACATATTATGATGGCCAGTGAGTCATAAATCAAGTACATTGGTTTCTCCAGGTCTCACAGACACGGCCCCAGGTGGGAAGATTGGGCTAGGATCTAGGACTGGAGGTCCCACCAGAACAGGGGAGTCCCCAGGGGATCTACAGCTCTGTCCTGAAGCCTCTCCCAGAAAGCCCCCAGGGGCCTTGTGTAGTTGGTGCTTCCAACTTTTAAAGAGAAGCCTGAAGTCTGACATATTAAGTGAAGGCCCTGGTTTTTAACTAATTAAAACCTTAAAATTAGCTAGTTAAAATTAATTAAAATTAATGACATTTCCACTAATTAAAACTAACAGTTTTTTTCAAAACATGGTGTAGACTAAACCTCTCACAGACACAGGTGTCTGCTGACACCGTGGGAGGCCCTGGGCCAGGGCTGCAGACAGGACAGCAGACCAGAACGTCTATCCTCAAGGGCCCTGTCACTGGTCTGTCTGCCTCTTGATAATGCCCACCACCCCCAGCCTTGGGTGGGAAGATGGGCAAGTCATCTTGGGGTGATTGGGGGCAGGATAGCAGTGGGAGATGTATAGGGAGCTTCTTAGCAGGGATTGTGCCCCAGAAGCCCGTGGGCCACAGCCTTCATAACTAGTTCTCACCACACGCCCCCTCCACTGCCACAGCCTCTCATCCACTCTGACTGGGCACTGGTCTGTGCCTCCCTGTCCTCACCTGGCCTCAGGCCCGTGCCCTGTGTGCCCTGTGGTCTCTGTCATGGAGACAGGGCTGTTGAGGCTTCCCGGGACAGTTTGCCCAACACATCCAGCTCGGCTATGGTCCTGAGTGCATGTGGCCAGAGCAGAGGAACCAGGTCCAAGTGGAGGGGCCCAGGTGGATCAGGGAGAGCCTCGCCTCTTGTTGCCCTGCTGTCCTGGGGTACAGTGTCTACAGGTGACCAAGGGCACAGCTGCTCTCAGCAGGTGTGGTGAGCACTGCCTGGGGAGATGGGGGCTGGGTGTTGTGATTGCATCTGTGGCACAAAAACGATGCCAAGGCTGTCTGCCTATTTCTGACAGTAAGAAA